TTGGTTTGTCATAGATGGCTTTGATCATATTGAGATAAAGACCATCTATTCCAATTTTCTGTAGAGTTTTTATTCCGAATAAATGTTGGACTTTGTCAAATGTTTTTTTCTGCATCTACTGAGATGATCATATGTTTTTTGTCCTTGGCTCTGTTAATATGGTATATTACATATGTTGAACCATACCTGCATCCTTGGGATGAATCCTACTTGGTCATGGTATATAATCTTCTTGATGATTTGTTGTATTATGTTTACCAGTATCTTTTGAAGATTTTTGCCTCTATGTTCATTAAGGAGATTGGCCTGTAGTTCTCCTTTTTAGTTGGATGCTTCTCTGGTTTTGCTATCAGGGTAATGCTTGCTTCCAGGAATGAATTTGGAAGTATTGCTTCCTTTTCAATTTCATTAAAGAGTTTGAGAAGTAGTGGCTTTATGTCTTCTCTAAATTTGTTGTGGAATTCAGCAATGAATCTGTGAGGGCCTGGCCTTTTCTTTGTTGGTAGGTTTTTAATTATGTCTTCAATTACATTGACTTATATTGGTTTATTTAGAATTTTTATATCATCTTGATTCAGCTTTGGTAATTCATATGTACCTTGGAATCTGTCTATTTCTTCTGCATTTTCCATTTTATTAGAATACAGGTTCTTGAAGTAGGTATTGATGATCTTCTAGATTTCTGCAGCATTTGTTGTGATTTCACCCTTTTCATTCCTAATTGCATAGATTTGGGTCTTTCCTTTTTTGATAAGGTTGGCTAAGGGTTTGTCAATTTTATTTAATCTTTCAAAGAACCACTTCTTTGATTCATTGACTCTTTGTATTGTTTTCTTGGTCGCAATTGCATTAAGTTATGCTATGATCTTTGTAATTTCTTCCCTCATACATGCTTTGGGCTTGACTTGCTCTTCTTTTTCTAGAAGGTTGAGGTTCAACATTAGCTTGTTTATTCAAGCTCCCTCTGTTTTTCTGATATGGAAATTTACAGCTATAAATTTCCCTCCTAGGACTATTTTCATTGTGTCTCATAAGTTCCAGTATGTTGTATTTGAATTATTGTTTAATTGTAGAAACTTTCTAATTTCTTCTTTAATTTCATCTGAGACCCATTGGTTGTTCAGGAAGGTGTTATTTAATTTCTATGTGTTTAGAAGTTTTTGTGATTTCTTTTTCCATTGATTTCCAATTTCATTGTATCATGGTCTGATAATATGCAAAGAATAATTTCCATTCCTTTGCACTTACTTAAGCACGTTCTATGTTCTAGTATGGGGTCTATTTTAAAGAACATCCCATGTGCAGCTGAGAAGAATGTGTATTTTAATGTTGTGAGATAGAACACTGTAGATATCTACTAAGTCCATTTGTTCAAAAGTTTGTTTCAATTCTGATATTTCTTTGTTGATTTCTTTGTGCAGTTGATCTATTTGTGAGAATGAGGTATTGAGGTTCCTCATTATACTTGTATTAGTGCTTATTTAATTTTTCATGTCTGTTAATATTTATTTTATATAGTTGGGTATGCTGATATCTGTTGCATACATTTTTATGATTGTTATCTCTTCCTCTTGGATTGTTCCTTTTACTAGGATGTAGTGACCTTCTTTGTCTCTCTTAATCAGTCTTGGCTTGAAATCCACTTTGTCTGGAAATAGAATAGCTACCTCTCTTTTTTTCCAGGTTCCTATTGCATGGAGTATTGCTTTCCATCTTTTGACTTTCACTCTGTGAATTTCTTTTTGAATTAAATGTGTTTCTTGTATGCTGCATATTGTTGGATCTTGCTTCTTGATCCATTCTCTAGTTTGTTTCTTTTGATTGGTGAGTTGAGACTATTTACTATTGATGGTTATAACTGATATGCATTGATTTATTTTTGTCATGTTATTTTCCTGTTGTTGGTTCCCTTTTATTCCTTTCTGTTTAATTACTTGCCTTACCTTGTGGATTCATTCTACTGGGCTTCATGGAGTTATAGTTCTCATTATGTCTTTCTAGAATGTCCTTTAGAACCTTTCGGAGTGTGGTTTGGTGGTCATAAGTTTCTTTGAGTGTTCTTTGTCATGGAAGTATCTTATTTCTCCATCAATTTTGAAAGATAGTTTTTCAGGGTACATCAATCTGGGCTGGGGGTTGTTTACTTTTAGAGCTTGAAATACTTCAATCTCTCCTTGATTTGAGGGTTTGTGATGAGAAGTCTGCTGTGATTCTGATGGGTTTTCCTTTGTAGGTGATTTGCTTCTTTTCTCTAACAGTTTTTAATATTCTGTTCTTGTGGGCTGGGGATTTAGCTCAGTGATTTCACCACCTGCTGCACAAGCACAAGGACCAGAGTCTGATCCCCAGTACCAAAAAAAAATTCTGTTCTTGTACTGAATTTCTAGAATCTTTTTTTTTGGTACCGGGGATTGAACTCGGGTCTTTGCGCTTGCATAGCAGGTGGTGAAACCACTGAGCTAAATCCCTGGCCCTAGAATCTTGACTATTATATGTCTTGGTATAGATTTTTTTTATCGTGGCTAATTTGAGTTTTATATGCCTCACTTGTCTGTATGTCAAATTCTTTTTTCATGCTTGGGAAGTTTTCTGCCATTAGTTTGTGAACAGGTTTTTTTATGTTGTTTGTGCTATCTCTTGCTTTTTCATTGTCTCTGATCAACCATATGTTATTCTTCTTTGCATCATCTAGTTGTTGGATTGATTTTTCATGATCCTTTGCTATTTTTAAGAGATCTTTCTTTTCATGATCACTAACTACAGTTCTGTCTTCTAGAGCTGATACTCTGTCCTCACATTGGTTCATTCTGCTGTGTATACTTTCAATGGAATTTTAAATCTCCTAGATATCTATTAGAATCTGTTTTATGAATTCCATTTCTTTCCTGTGTTGAGTGTTCATGGTTTTCATCATTTTACTATGCTTCTCTATTTTTAAAAATCTGTATCTGCTCAAGAGTCACTAACTTTGTCTTTCATTATGGTTACCATCTCTCTAGTTATCTGAGAAATGATTTCTGATTTGATTTTTTTCTAAAGCCTCATTTATCTACTTTGTTACTTCCACTGTTACCACTTCAAAGAGTCCAAGTGGGTGGCTTTCAAATTATTCTACCTCATTGCCCCCTGGGTTTGCCTTTGGGGAGGTGGAAGTCTGGGGTTGCATCTTGCAAAAGTGTCTTCTCATTTTCAATTTTTAAAGTTTAATTCCTGGGTTGATGTTTATAAATTGCTTATGGCAGGTAGCTTTATTGCTAGTATTTAAAACCCTTACTAAGTGACTACTTCTCGGAGATATCTTCTAGGTGTAGCTGGCTTTTGGGTTTTGAGTCTGTTGTAAGAACCTACCTCTTCAATTTATTGGGGATGAGAGTTGCTGCCTGTTTGGACTAGGCCCTGGTTCTTTGACACTGGCCTATAGTATTGTTTATGACCCTTAGGCAATTTCTCTTGGCATACCAGGAAGAACAACTGACTTAAACAATTATGTCACCTTAATTTAAATAGTACAATCAGCAATAACAATAACATCAAACACAGCTTAGAAAATTACAAACTGTGGTAACTATTTGCCACTTTTAACCATATGAACTATATTTGTGGTCATATAACAAAATCTAAAACAAACCAGAAAATTGTATACAGTAAATATACCCTCAGTATGGCAATTTTACCCTCAGGGAGGGTAAATATAGTGATTTTACCCTCAGGGGAGAACATTTAAATGGGGTTAGGGGAAAAAATAGAGAAATAGAAGAAGAGCAAGAAGTTATAACCAAGGCTGAAGGACAAAGAAAGATTATGCCAACTTTGGGAAACTAGTGAAGAAGACAGGAAGGAAAGAGAGAAGGAAGAAATAAACACAAGAACAGAACAGAATAACAACAAAAAAACTAGAAACAATGCTCACACTCATATAAAAACAAGAAAAAACAATTAGGAAAAAAGAAAACAAAACAAAAACAAAAATAAAAAACAAGAAAGAAAAGAAAAGAAGAAAAAAATATCACTTCAGGGCATGTCTCTGCTGTCGGGGGTAGATAGAATTGGCAGACAGAAGCCAGATTCATGTTGATTAATCCCAGCAAGCCAGCCATAGATTTTCAGCAGTGTAGAGGATAATCGTCGCAAGCCTGCACCTTTAGTTCCACTGAAGTTCAGGCTGCTTTCTGCCTGTGAGGCTGGAACTAGATTTGTTCAGCCTCCAACACTCCATGTGCCTCCTGCCAACTTAAACTCAGCTCCTTGACCTCTGGTAAACTTGAACTTGGTTCTGCCTCACCTTGACACTGGAGCTGCTAAATGGAGCTGCTTTCACAGCTGCTCTGAGTTCTGAGCTCAGTTGGCCCCTCTCCAAGATGGCTACTGGCTGGCTAATTGCCCTCTCCTGGGGAATGTCTGAACTTGAATAATTCACCAGCCACTGCAGTCTGCTGTGTCCACTAATCTGTTCCACTGATGTGTTGCTCTGTAGACATTTCTGGGGTTGCCAGTAATCCTTGTGCATCTGTACGTTTGAGCTACCCCTTTCACACACTGCATCAGGGCTCAGGGAGAAAGCACTGCTTGCCACCTCCTCCTTCTTCATTGAAGTCTCTCTTTTTGCTCTCCCCATAGGCTTCACTTCTCACTTGCTGGGTCCTGGTGACCCACTTCCCTCCTTTTTCGCTTCCTCACATTGCTATACTCCAGCATTTGGACTCCAAATCTCGGAGAGGCTGTTTCTCTGCTGTTCCCCACTCCACCATCTTCCCAGAAGTTCTCAAGTCTAATTTATTGTCTTCTGAAGGATTTGATCTCTGGTCTTATCTCTCTTAGTCTCAGCTCTTTGTAACAGGCCTGCTGGTTTTTCCTCTGGACAAATATCCATATCCCTAAAATGAGCCTTCCTTCCTTGTGAAGGGTCTCTGCTGCCATCCTGGACCTGAATGAAAACCTCTGGGTCCCCTTCTCTAAAAGCAGCAGGGGGCCTCCAGGATCACCAATTCTTTTCTCTTCAGGTGTGTGGACACAATGATAAAAGCACTCACGTCAAGCACCATCAAGACCTTCTACCTGGCTGGCTGCAGGGTGAGAACACCTGGCTTCTGGGGCATGGGGGTTGAGGGAGGGTGCGAAGAGCTTCAAGAGCACCTCTGATTCTGAGATTTTTACCGTCCAGTTCCAGTTCCAAAGAATTTATTCAAAGGCACCAGTTTAAGGGTAGAATGATTTAATTTTGCTAAGTGAACACATTTGTTTAAAAAAATCTATTGTTTTCTATTTCTTTAAAAAGTTGAATTACTAGCAAAAAGGTAGAAAGGACAATCTTAGGATTGGGAGCTGTATTAGTAAGTTTTCCCATCACTGAGGTACAATACCTAATACCTACAACTTAAAGAAAGGAGGAGAGATTTAATTTAGCTCAGTGTCCAGAGATTCAGTACATGATTGACTGGCTCCATGGCAGAAATCTCATGGTGGAAGGATGTGCTGGAGCGAAGCTGCTTAGTTCATGACAGCCACGAAGCAGGGCAAGAGTGCCAGAGAAATGAGTCAGAGACCATATATAGTACCTGAGGTAGACCTCCATGACCCACCTGGACATATGGAGGAGCACGCTTTATTAATGTGCTAAGTGTTTCTTAATCAAATGAAGTTTACAAATCAGAATTAATAGTCACAAAAGACAGTAGGGACTTCCTTCCAAAGCACAAAAATCTTCCAGGACAATCTTTCTGGAACCACGAGACCTTGTCCCACCTGGGCCCAGTATGTCAGTGTTGAGAAAAAATGATACAATCAGCTCACAGTATTTTCCTCTCCTCAAAAGCTCTCAGCTTTTCCTCTCCTCAGGGGACAGGAAGGGAACAAACTGCTTAGGATGAGTAGCTGCTGAGAAGTGCCTCTGATCTCTAATACCTCTGGCCTCCTGATTCCAGCTCCCTCCCTGGGGCCACCATTGACCTAGAGACACTCATACCACGAGTCAGACTCATGTAAGAGAAACATTCAATCTGTGCACTGCCAGCATGTCAGGGAGGTACTTATCACCACATCTAAGAATATTCTAAAGGCCTGCTTGCCAAAATGACCATGTAGTCCTCACCTTTACTCCATGGTGTTAAAGAGTCACGCTTAGTGACATCTTTACATTCTGGTTGGCGCCCCACCCCCCCACCTCCAAAGACATGAAAGGTGTACTAAAACCTCTCAAGATCTCTGTCTTTTGGGAGCCTTTTTACTTTCCCTGTCCTTTAATTTTTGCTTCTAAAATGTGTGTACATGACAGCCTCAGAGCTCCATGTGGAGTGCCCCTCCCAGGACCTTCCACATCCAGTTTCTGACCTCAGCCCGGGGATTTCAGTGGGCAGGGCCTGTGGTCAGACAGCCTGAGTATGTGTCCAGCTCAGCTGCTTACTAGTGTGTGACCACAAGAAAAGCTGGAAGCTGGTGGCCTTAGTCTGTCCAGTAAAATAGGAGCAATACGGAGCTGACCTCCTAGGGTTGCAGCAAGGATTGGTTTAAATCACCCAAGTGCAATACTCTGAGCATAGTAAATCCCCACTGGTGCAATTTGCGTGTTTTGTACAAAAGGGGCATATCTGCAGCATGACTCTTCCCAAGCATATCTGTAGCATCATTGTAAACCAGAAGAGGGTGCTGAGAGTAAGGGTTCCTTCATTAAGGGGCTTGTTTTGCCTTTTCAGTACAAAGAAGAGCGGCTCATCGAGGCCTGTGAGAAGTGGCTGGAAATGAACTTGGTCCCTCTGCTGGGGACACAGCTGCGTCTCCGCTGTATCCCACAGGATCTGCTCCACACGGTGCTGAAGTCCCCCAGGTCAGAGTTGGTTTGGGGCATGCTGGCCCCGGGATGGGCGCAGGAGGAAACCAGGGAGGGAAATGCTTCAGTGTGGACTGTACCCACACCCTATTAGACATGCCCATGTCACCATCACCCTTGATTCTGAACTTTGTGCTGTCCCAGATAGCCTGGCCTCTGGTGGGAGCTGACACTCAGGGTACTGTGGTGTATTCAGGGTGCAAGTGAGATTGGAGAAAGGAATCCCGTCATGTTACAAGGTAGAGACCTCCTGAGCACCAGGTGACACATTACCTGTCTGGATGAGAAAAGTGAAAGACCTGGGGCCGGGGATTTGGCTCACTGGTTCCGCCGCCTGCCTCGCAAGCACAAGGACCTGAGTTTGATCCCTGGTACCAAAAAAAAAAGAAAAGTGAAAGACCTGAGTAATTTTTTAACAAGTCCTGATAACAATAATGAACATTATGGAAAATTTGGAAAACAGGGAAAATCAGAAAAGAGAGGAAAAAAACAGCTCTTGCCTTAATTCACTTTATATCTCCAGCACCGACTCCTCTGTTCAATTGTTCTGCACCCAAGTGTCTGACTGCCTGCTTGGCCTTTCTGATAATTAAGGCTAAAAACCCAGCTCTCAGTGTTCCCTGCCCTTTATTGTATCCCCATCCACCCCACTGGTCCTGGACCATCTACTGTATGCTCAAGCTGCAGCCTGATACCACTTTGACTTTACCTTGACCACAAGACCAGTTCTGCTTCCAAACTAAGTTCATGCCTATGGGCCTCTCTCCACGGGCACAGCCAAAGCCAAACTCCCCCGTTGTTTCTCATTTGGACACTGAAGGGCTCTCTAATTCAGTGTCTTCCTTCTTGTCTTGACCCCCACATCTGGCTCCTTCATCTCATGCACCAAGCAGCAGCCAAACAGGCCTTCCTTAGTCTCCCTTGCTGAGCTCTTTCCCCAGCCTCAGCACAGCTGCTCCTTCTGCCCAAAATGCCTGACACCGTCAGCCCCTTCTCTCTTTCCTGCCAGTAGTTCATAGAACCATTCCTAGTTCTTGACTTTTATATTATTTCCAGTGTTCTACCAATTTAAATAGCTCTTTGGTGAATACCCGTCAAGGTACATTTTTCTTCAACCAGAATGATTTTCCTGCATTGCATTTCTGAAAGTGAAATTACTAAGTGAAAAGGACTTTCTGTTTGTTATTAGTCTTTAAAAATATTTTATTTGAAAATGATTTCAAACTTAAGGAAAAAAGAACAATACAAGAATATCTGCAGATGCTTCTCACTTATGATGGACGTACATCCCAATTTTAAACCACTTGTAAGTTGAAAAATCTTGAACTGAAAATGCATCAAGTGTCTCTAACCGACCCCACCATCACAGGCATACAACATAGTACACACTAGGGTATCAGTTGCTCACTCTCCCGGTCACATGGCTGACTGGGAGTCACATGGCTGGGAGTCACATGACTGGGAGGATGGCTGACTGTCACTGCCTAACATCATGAGAGAGTACATATCACTAGGCCACAAAGAGATCAAAATTCAAAATCTGAAGTACAATTTCTACTAAATGGATATAACTTTCATAACATCATAGAAATGAAAAGCTGTAACTCAAACCATCACAAGTTGGGACCAGTTGTATACCCTTTACACTGAGTCATCCTATTTAATTTTTGCCCTGTTTGCTTTATTATTTGTATCTATATTCATATCTACCTATAACCATATTTTTTCTAAACTATTTGGGGATAAGTTGCATATATCATGTTCCTTTATCCTCAAATGTTTCAGTTTTATTTCCTAGGAAAAAGAATTTAATACAACAAAAGAGCAATTGTCAATGTCAAGAAATTTATCACTGGACCGGGAAATTTAGCTCAGTGGTACTGTGCCTGCCTGGCAAGCCTAAGGGTCTGAGTTTGATCCCCAGTACCAAAAAAAAAAAAAAAAGAAAAGAAATTTATCATTGAGGGATACTTTTGTATCATTGAACCAATATTGTTTTCAATAGCATTTGGCCCCTCCGATACAGGATTCAGTTTAGGATCACACATTGCATATAGTTGCCAAGTCTCTTTGGGAGTCTTTTGAAAATGTTCTTGGTGCCCATTGCCAAGTTTCCAAGGTTGTGTTCCTTTTGGATGAATTTCGAAAGTGAAGACTGAATTCTACTAAAAATCTTAGTAGTATATTGGAAAATAAGTGTTTACTCATCTTTATGCTCTGGAAAGTGTTCTATTCCCAGAAATTAGATCTGGAAAGATTTATTCTGTTCCAGATCATTAACCCATTCCATGGGTGTGAATTTACTAAGTGGCACACAATGCCCATTTGCAGAAACCTGAGCTGGGCAGGACAGCTGGGGTTGAGGGAGCCACCTTGTCTAAGACTTCAGGAGGCTGGGGGTATAGCTCTGTGGTGGAGTGCTTGGCTAGCATGTTGAAGACCCTAGCATGTTTGAGGAGGAGGTTGGAGTGGGGGGTGGAGATGAAGGAGGAAAGCAAGGAAGAGGAGGGAGGAGGAGGAAAAAGAAGACAACTGCCTCAGAAGCCCTGAACCCAGGGCACTAGCACTCCCCAGAGGCATTCTGCTCTGGTCCCCTCTGCTTTTCCTACTCATGCAAGGCCCGCTTCTCCACCCTCCAATGGAGCAAAGATCGCGAAATTGTTGAAGAACAACTAAACATGGCATCCCTTAGACTTTTCATAGCATTGTCCCTTGCTTGGAAAGGCTGAGTTGTCCCATCCTGGTAGCATTTAATCAAAAAGAGAAAAAAATATCTGACCACAACCAGAACGTTGGTGACAGTACAGGCCCGACAGAGGCACACTGGGTAGGAAAAGAGGTCAAGAGCATGACGTGTCAAATGTCTAGACTTGCCAGCCTGGGCAGACATGACTGAGGTGGAACAGCCCTGCCCCTCAGCCTCCCCAGGCAGTGTCTGCACAGACTGTCCAGCTGTCCTGCTGAGGAGGGCAGAGTCTGTGTGGTCTCAGGCATGTCACAGGCCCTGGAGTGGCCAAGGACAGGATGACTGGGCCCAGGGGCTGGCTACTTTACAGGACAACTGGTAGAAACTGAACCAGGTTTGGGCACTTCAATACAGCCACCTGAGACCCAGGCTAGTGGCTAATGGGTTTGGCGCCATAACCCATACTTGGTTAAAAACAAACACACTCGTATGGAGTATTTCTTGGTGTGAGCTGTGCCGTGTACACTGTCCCTTTCAGTCCTCACAACCTCACTGAGTAGGCACAATTCTTATCCCTTAGATTAGAAGGCTAATGAAGCTGTACATGGTGATGCAGGCCTGTACTTCCAGAACTCTGGGAGGCTGAGGCAGGAGGATTGCGAGTTTGAGTCTATCCTGGGCAACTTTCCAAGACCAGATTTTAAAATAAAAACCAAAAAAGGGGTGGGAATATGGCTCAGTGTGAAGGTCCTGATTCAATCCCCAATCCAAAAAAAAGCTAATGAAGGGCCGGCTGGGTGGGCCTTTACCGGCTCCAGAATCCATGCCCTGCCCACTGTTACCCTCTTCCTTGTTCGTCAGGGCAGCTGAGGAGTCCAAGCACCTGGGAGAACTCAGTGAGCCCTGGGGTGTCCCGAGAAGTCTCTTAGCCCCAGAGTGGGAAGTGTGGAGACACCAAGCCACACAGTCAGGGATAGAGGATTCTTTGGCCCTGCTCAGCTGCTCCTTCAGCCGCCCACTGGCACCTGATCCCCATCTTGTGACCACAGGTGTTTGGAACATCTGCCTCTTACCAGATGCTGTCACTTCTGGTCCATTCACCCTTTCCCATCGGACCTCATCTTTTGGGGGGTTTTGCTTTCCATTTTGTAAACAGCCTAGGGTAAGACATACACAGTTTTCCTGACCTCCCGGACCTGTGGTTTTAATTTATTTGTCTAGGCATTTCGTGTTTGGTTAATTTGCTCCTTAAAGGTCACCACCAGGTTACCCTGTTCTCGCAACTCAAGTTTATGAAAACTTCATTCTAAATTCTATTTCCCTTGAGAATGGAGACCACAGAGCACTATCTAGCTGCCCTCTCCACAAAAAGGCTACTTTGCAACAGAGGTCCTATATCCCTGATCCCAGTTCTTCTGGCTTCTTGTCTGTGGTCCAGTGAGTCTCAAGGTCTCAGGAGTTCCCTACGGAAAGGCACCTTGTCCTCCTTGTCATCTCTGACCCAAGCTTTCCCTACAGGGTGGGACAATAAGTGCCTCCCATTAGCATTTGGAACACCAGCAGACACCTATGGCAATAATTGTTACTAAAGCCGGTGTTTATAGTGAACAATATTGATGCCTACTGAATATTGAGCACCTGCTGTGGACAGAATACTCCAAGTGTGTTATCTAGACTGAACCATTCCCATAGCAACTCAGTGAGGTAGATACTGTCACTTGCATTTTTTGCCCGTGAAAGGAGGTTACAGGAAATGAAAGGATTAGCTGAAGATCCCCACTATGCAGCAGGAGAGTTGGGAATGAACCCAGGTCAGAGTGGCCTCAAAGCTGTGGTTGTTACCCGCCTGCTGATGGGCTACGATGGGCTTTTCCCTTGACGGTCAAGATCAATAATGTTAATATAGGCATGGCTTTCTCTATATTCAGAAGGGAGCTTTTATTGTTTATATACAAATTTCTTAACAATAAAATAAAAAGGATAATGTCTTCTGAAAGGCATTTTCTTCTCTGAAGAGCAAATACCACTTACACTGCAAGGACTGCCAGCAAACACATGTGGCACAGCTGCATTATTCACCTCTTGTGTGGCTGTGAGTTTCATCTGGAGTGAGGCCATCACAGCGCTTGGGTGAAGGAAAATGTGTTTGGAGGCTCTTGATGTGGTTATTTGCTGCAGGAGTTAATAATACCTTGGGGTACTGATACTGGCCTAATGGCAGAAAGCTTTAATTCAGTAATTGTCCTTTCTACATAAAACCAGGATTTCAAAACATGGAGTCCTGATTCCTCCCCAAGTCCCTGCTAGCCCCTCTTTGGTAAGATCTCAGAGAACCCTCTGGGCTTGAGGACCTCCAGTGTATAGTCTGCTCTGGAAGTCACACAGCTTCCCCAGACCCAGATGACAAAGATTTTTGTGAGGATTTTGCACACAGGGCCTCTGCAGAGTCTCCTTTTTGCCTTGCTGTTGTTGCCCACACACTGACCAATTGGATCTTGTCTGGCCAGACTCAAGCTTGTGCATCTGTAGGTGGTCTGAAAGCCAAATAAGGGGAATGAGACTGTTCTACTCTGTCCAGAAATAGTGTGAGAAGTGGGTGGATGACATTTCCATTGCTCTTTAGAGTCACGATTTAGCTTGAGTTCCACCCACCATGACCCCTTAAAGTGGTGAAAGCAGAGGCTGTGACATATTTTACAGCCCGGGTGCCATGTCCATGGCCAGGAACTAAAAATATCGATGAGTTTAGAAAACACTGAAATGGCTCTTTATGTAATCATGTCAGCAGAGGCAGCTGGAGAAACTGCTAATAGAGCTGATGTTGTGGAACACGGCAGCTGCTTGTTGGCATCATGAGTTCAGGACTCCTGCTGCTGTAGTTGCAGAGTGAGAGTGGGCTCTGGAGCCAGGACCTGGCCTTGCCACTTACAAGGAAGCCCTGACAATCGCTGAGCACATTGCCATGTTCCAAGCACTGTACCAAGCATGTTGATTATGTGTGGTCAGCAGAATAATGGCCCCAACGGTACCCACTTTCTCTCTGCAGAACCTGTGACTATGTTAGGTTATACAGCAAAGAGGATTAAAATTACAGATTGATTGAAAGTTGCTAATCAGCTGGCTTCAAAATGAAAGATTATCCTAGATTATCAAGGTAAACCCAATATAATCACGAGTCTTTAAATCTGAAGAGTGAGGTAGAAGAGTCAGAACCAGAGTGAGATTGGAGGATGCTGTGATGCTGGCTTGAAGATCAAGGAAGGGGCCAGGAGCCAAGGATTGTGGGCTCTTTCCAGAAGCTGCAAAATGCCAGGAAGTGATTTTCCAGAGGGAACTGGGCCTGCTGTGACCTTGATTGGAACCCAGTAAGATCCATTTTGTGTTTCTGACCTCCAGAACTCTAAGATAATAATCGCTTCTCGGCCTTTTGGCTAAGATCAAGTGAACTCTAAGGTAATAAAGTTTTGTTGTTTGAAGCCACTCAGTTCGTAATGGTTTGGGACAACAACAATAGGAAGCTCATGTAATATGTCACCTCCTTTGGTCTTCTCCACTCTCCCCTGAGCAGCTGAGAAAATTGCAAATACAGAGCACTTTAGCAGCATAGGAGAGGTTACTGGCCCATGTCCAGGTCCAACCCCAGAACTGTGTGACGTTGGATAAATTATTCACATTCAGCCATTGATCATGGGCAGGATTGGGTGTGGCCAATGAGGCAGTGGCTTTGGGTACAAAATTTAAGGGAGGCACTGAAAAAACACAGGTGTTAAGATAAATTATATTTTTGTGCAGTATTTTAAAATAAAAATTAAAAAGCCATAGTTAACAATTTTTAAATAAATTTCCATATCTATAAAAATAAATTTTATACCCCAATTTTGCAGAATTATATGTGGAATTAAATTTTAAATTCTACACAAAACATCTTGTGAACACCAGGCATTTAGAGCTCATTAAATGGTGACATTTATGGTAGCACAGTCAGGTGGTTCAAAGCACCGGGCTCAGTGTCAGGCTGCTAAGGTTTAAGTCCCAGCTCTGCCATTTACCAGGTGAGGAACCGTAAGCAAGTCATTTAACTTCTCCTGGTCTGAGCCACCTACAGACTCACAGTGTTGTTGCTTCACTTCTAAACTCACATCAAATAGTGTGGCTTGTTTACGTTTCCTAAAATTTCTTCTCTATCTTTTATTTTGACCAGGTTGTTTACCTTTAGTGAGTTCCATCTTCTGAAAACCTTACTTTGGTGGGTCTACTTGCAACTAAACAGAAATATCCAGGTGATTCCAACCAATGAGACTGTGCTAACCTATTTCAACAGGTAATATGATTTAGTTGTGGATGATGAAATGTACATACCCTGGGTTTTTGTTATTGCTGTTCATAATATCATGGGACAAGCGTCAGTGATATAATTTTCATAGCATCATACAGAAAGCACAGAATGCAATTTTTCTTATGAGGCCTAAAGTTATAGACCTTTGGGCCACTAAACTATTTGGAAAAGTAAATAACACATGTTATAATATGAGATAATAGAGTGCTTCTGGAAACTTGTTGTGTGTCCAGTAATAGACATGATGCAAAAGGTACTCCTTTCATTCGGGAAAATTGCCATACTACACTGAGCTTAAAAGCTTCAGTTTTTAGTGTACTTAAATCAGACCTGTTCATTCTCATTTATATTTCACAACATATAAAATTCTTGGTTCTCTGGGGAAAAAACTCATTCAAATGTACAAAGGTTTCATAGCATTTTCCCCATTTCTTATACTCCCTAAACTTATAAAACCTAAAATTCATATGCTTCAACTTTTAAGTGAAAAGTGACAATAAAGTCACTGTAAAATATCCTTTACTAAGTATGATAACTCTGGTAATCACTTTCTACTCATTATCTTAGTTTATCTGCATAATCCTTAGCAGGTGACTTTATTATTCCCATGTTACAGATGAAAAAAGTGACAATGAAATATCTTGTCAGAGATCATACAAAGTGATAAAGTAAGGAGCTGACTTGAACCCAGATCTGCCAAAGCCCAAGATGCTTAGGTGCTCGTTCTTAGAGCAGCTGAGTATGTTATTTTCCTCTCTGGTTTCCATGCCAGCAGTTCGGCAGTAGCTCCCCAGGTATGAAGTTAGAAAGATCCTAAGGCTGTCTCTAGGTTCAGTGTTGTTAGTCAAGGGCTTCTAAAATTACTTTCTTTCTGTTCCTCTGTTTCCCCCTGCTAGCGAGTGCTTTCTAAAGTGCCCTCTTATCGAGATCTGTTGTGGCCACCTGGGGATGGGGCATCATGGGGTGAAGGCAATTGCTGGGGTCCATTTTTTGTTTCCTTAGCTTCTTATGTTAGTCACTCTATCACTGTGACAAAATACTTGAGATTAGAAACTTTTGTTTTTGCTCACAGTTTCAGAGGTTTCAGTCCATGGTTGGTTGGGTGTTACTTTGGGCCTGTTTTAGGGTAGGACATTATGGTGGGAGTGCATAGTAGAGTGAAGCTGCTCACCTCATGGTGGTAGGGAAGCAAAGAGAGGAAGGGGCTCCAATCAAAGGCACACCCTAATGACACAACTTCCTCCCATTAGCCCTACCTCCTCAAGGTTCCACCACTTCCCAGTAGCACCATGGGCCAGGTTCCACATGGGCCCTTTGGGGACATTTCAAATCCAAACTATAACACTTCTGTGAAAACTTTTGGAATAATGCTTACATCATCCAAGCTGGCTGACAAATGCAGTGACCCTGAAGCCACAGACAGTCCCAGGTGGCTCTCAGAGAGTCCTCTCTGCACAGGAAGTCACTGGTAGCATTACTTTCATCATCTGGCTCATGTTTCTGTTCCCCACATGAACAGGAATGGGGTCCTCCAAGCATGATGAGGCATGTTCAAGGAAGTAAAGACATACTGTTTCTTTTGCACAGGTGAATTTAGCAGATAAACAGGTCTTCACATATTAATCAGTGGATTGACCCATTTAAGCCAAGTTTCATTAACACTATTTTGAAGCATTCAATCCATTCTTGGAACATCTTGGCACCATGTTAACCAAAAAGCCTGTTTGTTCTGTCTTGTTATTTGGGGAAAGTGGTATTCAGTGCCAGAATTACATGTAGTGTGCTTAGTTTGTGTATAATTTGCTTTGAACCCAAATGTTTGAGCCCCTCCTCCCCCATCTTCTAATAGCCCATGAGACAATCTTTCCAATGAGTCACACACACCAGGGGCCTTGCCACTTGGGTGCAGGTCAGCTCTCCTCCTGAAAGCTCTCAGCACCAGGCAATAGGAAATGAACTCGTGTGGGGTGATTCATAAGTGTTGTGTTTTTGGTGTGAGAGAAACCTGTGGGAAGCTGTGCGGCCCCCTCCACCAAGGGTGGGCTCTGTGCCCCTTCATAGTGCCCCCCCCAGGGCTCCTCCCCAGAGCATAATGCATAAGAGCCCTGCTCCTTCTCAGAGCTTTCCATGTTCCTCCAGAATCTACATGGGCTCAGTTCTGACACCCAAGCCGCACATTCTCTGCCTGACAGCTCCCCAATCCCCTGATCCTGCCCCTGTCTTGCAGGAAACCATGTGCTTGTACCCAAGTCATCTCACACCCTGGCCTAAGCAGTAGTGATGATATCTTAGCAAAAGGCAGTTGTATGGGCTTTCTACATAGCCAGCCACCTGTTGGGGGTCCCTTCCTCCTCCTTTCCCCCCTTCTGCCCATGACCTCTCAGCTTGGAGGACCACATAGCTCATTTTTTAGAACTGTGAATGGTTCTCCTCCTCTTCTGGCTCACTCTTCTGTCCCAGAGCAGTGGCACCTCTAAGATGACCCTCTGTCAGTGGCCTCCACCTCCCAAATGTACTCCTTCACTGAGGTATCAGCCTTGGCTGCTCCTGCCTAAGGCTGCCCGGCCTCCTTTCTCGGTTTTCCCTGTGAGGGCCTCCCTAAAGAGCCTCTGAGACAACCCCTGATGAAGTCCTTGGTTCAAGTCATGTCCTGTCTCCCTAGTTGCACCACAGAAACTTAGACGGGGTTTATGATCTTTTATCTTGACCCCAATTTGCCTGGCATCTTGCTGGACTTAGAATAGTTTATTGAATCATGAAATTCCATTAACTATTTTTACGTAACTCATTTTTTCTCAGTGAAGTGGGTCTTAATATGCTGGTACAAAATTCAGACGACATGATGTTTGTAGCAACTTGAAGTAATAGGAATGGCAGTTTCCATTCTTATGGATGGGTAGTATGTCTTGTGCACTGGATCAAGAAGGATTCTAAGTTTTTCTGTAGGCTCAGTGAGGAAGAATGTGTGGTAGGTTAGTGCATCTACTCTGGATGTGGGATGGGGACTGATGGCCCCATGCTCCATGTTTTTCCTCCTTCCTGATTGTCCTAAGGGCTGACTAGCCTCAGTGTAGGACTTGGAGCTGCAGGCCTGGTGGGGCTGGTAGCCAGAAGGTTCAGGCTCCCACAAGGCACCTCTGTTCCTGGCAGTGGTGGAAGGAACCTGTAGGTACTTACTGTCAGCTGGGACCAGAACTAGGTTACCGTGAGAGTTGAGCTGCAAACACCAGTGAGGCCACAGGGAATGGCTAATCAAGGAAGACTCATGGGAAGACAGAGCATTTAAAGGTGGGAGACAGGACACAGATTTGGGAATGAGAACTGAGATGACTGGCAGTGGTTAAAGTTGCAAATATTGATGAAATAATTTAAATGACAGAATGATCTATAAGCTGTCTCCTATGGAGGAGGAAAAGCAGGCAGAGTAGACATTCTGAGGATATCACATTATAGGGATCTCCAAAGTGGGGCTGTCATTCTGTGGCAACAGTGGGACAAGCCATAGAAATGACAGATATGAAGGGCTTGTGAGTCTACTAGGACTGAGGAGGGGCTGTACCTGTGGGACTGGCTTGGCCAACCTAGCATCGGGAAAGGGGGCTGGGAGGACTAATTGAGTAAAATGGCTCAGGTAACTTCCTTCTCCTCTGTCCAAGCAGCATCCTAAGACAAACTAGAAGGAAAGAAAGACATATGTCCAAGCCTTTTCTACTCCTATTTTTTCTTTCAGTGCTTGTTCTCAATCTTTTGTTCATTCAAGAAATATTTATTTAATATTTATTGAATATGTACCGCATGCCTGGGGAACCGATAGAAAGTTTCTCGGCCAGAAGTATTGGAACATCTTCAAGATCTTTTTTCACTCTTTTAATACCATCTCATTATGTAGTCATTTTGTAGCCTGAGCTGGCTTTGAGCTCACAATGTAACCCAGGCTGAGTTAGAATTTAGGAACCTCCTGCCTTAGCCTCTGAGTACTGGGATTACGGGCATGTGCTACTAGGACTGGTTTCAAACTTATCTTTATTGTTGTCTAAATTCATCATTGTAAGAAGGAAACATGGATACCCCGGCACATATATGTACACACAGACATATGTGTAACACATAGGCACACACAAATGCATACACACTTGTACACACACAAATGTGTGTACAGTTCTATCTCTCTCCTCTCCCTCTCTCTCTGTCTCCCCTTGGCAACCTACATCCTGTCTTCCTGGCAGTAGTTAGTTCAGAAAAGCAAAAAGGCTGTCCAGAATTAATTTTAACATCTACTTGTAGGAAAAAAAATGTAAGCAAAGTTATGCTTTCATCCAAAGAGAAAAGTCATCGTTTCATTCCACTTAGCAGTCTGAAAAGTTCAGGAAAACTGTAAAAATTTCTCAATTGGAGAAGGGCCAACAAAGACAAATTTTAAACTTTTTAAAGTATATATATTTTTATTAAAATATAAAATATGTACAGAAATATTGCACAAAATGTAAATGAACAGCTTAATGAATTTCCATAAAATCGATGCAGCTGTGCAACCAGCACCCAAAGAAAAGGAGACCAGCCCTCCAGGGTCTCCAGTCAGTTGCTGCTCATCTACCCCCAAAATATTTTTAGTATATTTGCTGCCAAAGCAAGCACATACCCCCAAAATAATATCCTGACTTCACTTACTATTGATATATCTTACCTATTTTTCAACTTTATATAAAAACAATCCCACAGTACACACTTTTTAAATGTCTAACTTTTTTTTTTTTGGTACTGGGGATCAAACTCAGGACCTTCCCCTTGCAAGGCAGGCAGTGGAAAATGTCTAACTTTTTTTTTTTGTAACAGGGATCGAACTGGGGACTTTGTGCTTGCAAGGCAGGTGCCGGAACCACTCAGCTAAATCCCTGGCCCTGTCTAACATTTTAAACTGAACAGTATATCTGTAAATCAATCCATGTGCTTATAGGTAGCAATAACTTGTTCATTATTATAGAATA